TTATCCATATTAATATTTTTGAAAAATATTAATTTTTGTTCTTGAAGAACAAATTTTATAATTCAAATATATATATATATATAAACAGCACAGAATACTATTACGATAAAATACTCTTGAAAATGCGTAGGTCATTTCATCAATTAAATACTTCTTAGATGATTTTTCATCGACATAAGATTTTACAGGGGTAGACCCAAGGTGGTCTCATAGGGTCACTTGACCCTCCAATTTTTTCATTCGGGCTCAATATAGATTATCAAGGGAATTTGAAATATTAAATTCTTAATATCATTTTGAATGGTCAAGTATTTCACGTCATTAATGGTGTGCGAAATAGTCAATCGTAGCAAATGTTACGACGCGTCAATATAGACTGTTCCCAACTAATATTTCGAGAATCTTGATAACGAATTAACTTTAAAAATTCTTCGACAATTATATACTAGCCGTATCCATAAATCTTCTATATACTTTCGAAATTCATTTCGAGAATTATATTATAAACATATCGAATGATCTAAATGAATATCAAAAATAGTAAAATGTACATCAAACGTGTATGCTAAAAGAGACGTATGACTCGTCTTTTTTGAAAAAAATCAGTTATTTTATTAATGTTTAATATTTTTGCGTGACAAATTTCTCAATAAAATTTAAATCATTTTATTAGGAAATTTTATATATGGTATGACGTCAAATTTTTTTTTTTTTTGACGTAAAAGTTCTTAATAAAATTTTTATTACTTTTAGATGTTATAAATTGTTATACTACTTTTTCATCTTGATTATTTTTATATCTGAAAAAAAATTCAATCATTTTTAGAATTTTTTTTTATTATTGTTACATTTTCCTCTCGATCAATTAATTTTTTTTTTCAAATGACGTCAAAAAATTTATTAGATTATTTTAAAAAAATTAATTGATTGGGAGGAAAAAGTAACAGTAGTAAAAAAAAAATCTTAAAGATGATCATTTTTTTATATATAAAAATTTTTTAAATGTAAAAATAATCAAGATGAAAAAGTAATAAAACAGTTTATAACCCATATAAATTAATAAAAAAAATTTATGACTTCTTTTAAAAGTTTGATTGTAACCCCCTAATATAAAATATCTGTGTCCATCCCTGTACAAGAGCACTTCACTAGTCTAAAAGTTTGTCCTACATTATTTATGATAAATATTGGTATATAGAATTATAGAAAAGTGAACAAAATCAAAGTCGAATATTCTGACCTCTATACTTTTTCTAGTCTAGAGTAGCAATAACTTTTTATTTATTGTACTAATGAATATCCTTTAAATGTGAAATAATATGATCACGAACCTTTAAACATGAAATATTGTGAAAGCTTACCCTCATATTAAACAAAGGGTTTTAGTATAAAACGTCTTTACCTATTAATGTTATTGTGTAAAATGTCCCTACTTTTTATTTTTTAGCATTTTTACCCTACCTTCGCCTTTCATTTTTGGAATCACTTTCATCTAATTTCTTATCTAAAATGACAAAGATACCCTCTTATTTAAATAAAAGAAAAATTGAAGAACAAATTGAAACTTATTCCTTAACTTTTTAAAAAGTGCAAATAAATCCAAATAAATTATTTAAAGGGTAATTAGCACAAAACGTCCTCACCTTTCAATATTATTACGTGAAACGTTCCTACATTTCTTTTTGACATTTTCATCTTTATTTTCACATTTTATTTCAAGGTTCATTATTTTCATCAATTTCTCAATTAAAAGTTGCAAAATAACGAATATACTCTCACTTTTAAAATAAAAAAAATAAAGAAAAGAAAAATAAAAAACAAATTGCTACTATACTCCCAATTTTTTTAAAAAATACAAATAAATATCAAATAATAATTAAAAATAAAATTTTAAAAAATCACTTTCTTTTTTAATAATTTATTAATATTTTTTTGAAAATTTTGAGAATATAGTTGCAATTTTTTCTTTTTTTTTTCTTTTCTTTATTTTTGTTTATTTAAAGAGGAGGGTATATTTGTCATTTTATAAATTTTAATTGAGAAAATTGATGAAAATAATTATTTTCGTAATGAAATGTGAAAATAAAGGTGAAAATGTAAAAAGATAAAGGGCAATGACGTTTTGTACAATAATATTGAAATGTAAGTACATTTTGTGCTAATTACCCTTTTAATATTTTATTTGGACTCATTTGCATTTTTTTAAAAGTTAGGGAGTTTGTTTGCAATTTGTTATTTAAGTTTTCTTTTTTTATTTAAATACGAAAGTATATTTGTTATTTCATATGAGAAATTAGACAAAAAGGATGATTTCGCAATGAAAGGGGAAGGTAAGGATAAAAATACTAAAAAATGAAAGGTAAAAATGTTTAGCATAATAACATTGAAAACAAAACACGTTTTGCGCTAATTAACCTTAAACAAAAGATAATTTTGGTGTTATTTTAGTCAAATTTCCTTTTATTTCACAAGAGTCTGTCCAGCCCATTCACCAGCTCCATCTTCACTGAGCAAAAACCTGCCACGTATCTCAGTATTCTTCTTCTATAGCACTCTGTAGAGGTTTATTGAATCGATTCATACAGATAACAGCAATTATAAACAAAAATGTCTTCTTTGGGGACTTCAAAGGGAATTCTGGAGATTGCAAAGTTCGCTGTTTACGTCAGTGTTCCAATAGGCCTCATGTATTTCTTTGCTAATAACACCCGGAATCTCCAGAAAGTCATCAACAATGTAAGAATTTATATGTTTATATGTGTGTATTTGTAAATATTGACTGTATATGTTGTATGTGTAATGGGTCGTGATGATTTTGTACTACTCAATTGAACTAATAAGAATAGATTCAAGTTAATTTGACAAAGTGCCTTTTATTTTACTAATAGTAAAAAAAAAAAATTGTTTGGGCAATCGGGTAATTGGAATTTAATTGAACACGATCAATATGCTAAATTGGTCGTTTTTATTCTTTTGAGTTCTTATATATGAGGAGAAAAAAGCTTTGTTCCCAATAGATTTGCAGCCGGCTACATGAATCCAATTTCTCCTTCATTGCTAGATCTATTAAAGGATCCAATATAGAGTATTTTTTTTCCTTGAAATATATATGAAGAAGCTGTTAATCATTTCAAAGTGTATATTTTGAAAGAAGCTTATGTTTGAGTTAATGCAAAACTTTTTATCACTAAATCTGTGAGTTTGAAGAAATAGGAAAATAAGGTAGAGTTTTTAGCTACAAAGTTGGTATTGCAGATTGTATCACAATTCACAGTCTGGAAAGTTAAAAATAATGCATTTCCAACAGGGAGCAAAACATATTAGACTAGATGGTGTCACGTTAAAAATACTAATTAATATGGAATTTGATTTCGATCTAAATTACATCTATAATACGCAATCCTATTTGTCTCTTTGATATGTCTTCTAAAGCAAATTATGTTTTGTTGTATTTGCACAGCGTCAGTATGTTGTATACCCCCCAGAAGCACCACGGCCTCCATCACCCGAGGAAATGAGGGAGATGGCAAGGGAATTAGCTCGCAAGAGAGACAGACAGTAATGGATCTTTGCGTCATAAATATATTTGAAGCTTTGGGATGTAATTAACGTGGCATTGAAAAACTTGAAGTGCATGTTTGGTACTGAGTACTAGATAGGACTAGTCCGTATAAATAATAAAGTTTTATTTTATTTTATTTTTCCTTCTTACTCCATTACTATCCAATTACATCTACCAGACATGCCAAAGTTTGCACTGATGACCATATTATGTGTACATCTATGTTGTGAGTAATGATATGTTTCCTTTTCTTCCTGCTATCTGCTGCAAAATATAAATGAAAAGAAAGTGATATTATGGTTCAGTCTACTTTATGATTTCTTGGGAGAAATTATGATAGGATTATAACTAAGAGGAGTAACGGATCCCACGAAATGTGTGGATAATAAGTGGGTAGCAATTGTGATATGTTGTTAAAAATAATGTTTGACTTTGACTTCAAATTGTAAGGAGATTTTATACACCTCATATTTTTGGTAGCTGTATTAGAAAGATTTATTTGACTTCTTGCAAATTGTTCTTCAGCTGTGTAAACTTCTTATGATCGCCTCTTTGATTCTCCTCCCTTGTTTCACTGGTTCATTTGTCGTAAAATTATATGGTGAAATTTTGGATATTTTTACTGATAATCAATTATAGAATTTAAGCTTTTCTTTCGAGTGTTAAGAGTCCTCTGGCGTGAGAGAGTTAACTGAGTAGTTGAGAGTTCCAATTGTTTGATCTCTTTAGAATACTTTTCTTTTGGAGACAAGTGTTGCATTTGTCATATTTTACATGGACTTTTATAGGAACTCTATATACTCACCTTTTTCTCCTTCTATTTTATACTCTCTCCGTTCACTTAAATTCTCACTCTTGACTTTTTCCATTTTTTATTTTCTATTTTGCGTATAGCATTGCACCAACTTTCTTGAATCTGCAATAACCTTTTTCCATATTATCCAAGTGAAGTTTGTCCCAAACTTATTGCCTGAAAAGTTTTGATTTTATCTTTTTTGTTTTGGGGGGGGGGGGGGGGGGTTCTTCTCGACTTGTATGACCTTGTTTATTTTGCGAAAGAAGAAAGTTTTTGTTAAGCCTTATGTTAGCTGGTTTTTGCCAATTGAAGATGTTTGTCCCTAGAAGAGGCTTTTGAATCTGAGTTTATGGTACAAATTTCTTTAGAATATAATTCCTAAGCTGACTCGAACACTATCAACCCAATTGTTAGCATGCCTTTATAGTTGACTGGTGAATTAGTAATTGTACTCCTATTTATGATGCCATAAGGTCTGATATGGTAAATGTGGCAGACTGGCAGTAGGTATTTAGTCCATGGGGAGGTGAACAGTGAGTTGATGTACACAATATAAGTTGGGTGGGGTTTCTATCTAAAAAATTGTGTTATTTAGGTCACTTTTAGATGACGTAGTTCGACACGGTACTAGAGTAGTTAAGTCCTGCAATCAAGTCTTCCCGCTTCCCATATAAGAAAATTGTGACAGGATTTGATGAAAAAATGATTTCGGCCTGCACTTGAGGAGGCATATTGAAGCATGTCTTTGATAGCTTAAGCTTTTAAGTGGGGCAGTTTGGGTTACAATTTTCCTCCTTAAAAGACCAAGCCTATCCTTTTATCCATATAATTCCTTATGGGGGAATATCAGTTAATAAAAGCACAAAGGTATTCCATTGACTCTGTGTCTCAGGAACGTCACTCATTTCGTATGCTTCTGAAGGTTTCTTACTAGCTCTTTTGGTAAAAATGCTTTGTGATTTAGTGACCTCGAGAAATAATTGTTACTATTCAAATTGCTTTACAAAGAGGGTATGTAGTAGTTAACTGGTTATTGTTGTTAGTTTGATGGGAAATCTTCTAATCCCAATCTTGGGAATGTTTTTATGATATGTGAACTTCTCATGCCTGCAAATTTGATATTCTTACCTCGTTTTAATGGTTCATTAGGTTTTATTAACGTTCTACGATGAAATTGTATAATATTTTTACTGATAGTAGAAGTTACAGGTTTTAACATGCCTTTATTAGTAGTTGGTTTGGTTAGTAATTAGTTTGTTGCACTTATCACCTTGAACATGATAAAAATCTTGGTCGGTTTGGGCATGTCTAGCACAGACGTGACAGACTAAAAAAATTCTCTATCCACATTAGTGATTCCAATCTTGCTGCCTGTACAGGCCTCTCACAATACATGGGGGGTGGGGTAATTTTTTTTTTTTTTTTTAAATAATCACCCACCCGGCATGTGAGTGGGCCAGTACAGCAGGAATTATTGTTAGTGATTCAATCCAAGTTGAACATGATAGAAGAGGAGTGGTAGACCAAGTGGGTAAAAGAATGCATGTTGTCGAAACCTAGCTCAAGGTTTAGCATATTATTGTTGTCTTAATGTAAACTGGTTATTCACTCAATTACTTTAGCATATTATTGGAAACATCAATATCTGCTCATGGTGGTGTTTCAATGAATAGGCTGGATGTAGTAGAGCAGGTCTTGGAATCAATGCTCATCAACAGTCGTTGTGAAATTTGATGAAAAAAAAACACTTGATGGGGGCGTTTTTGAAGTCTCTCTACCACTCGCTCCATGCGTTTTCTTGCCAAGGGGAAATGTTTTGGTGATTCAGTGAGCTCAAGAGTTAAATGTTACTACCTCCATTTCACAAAAATATGATTGTTTATATTTTCACACGGATTAAGAACTGTAATTAATATAGTTGGAAATATAATTTTTTTATATATTTTTCTTAATATATCCCTACATTAAATTATGATTGGAAAATGAGTAATTCATATCTATTGATAACAGCTGTCTATAATTTGAGATAGACAAAAAAAGAAAAAAAGTAAATCTATCTTTATGGGATGAATGTAATGCTGTTTTTACTTTGTGACAATGCACTAGAAATGATGGGAGTACGTTTCTTTAAAGCTCTCTTTAGTCATTTCTAAGAAGGAACAAACTTACTACATATACACTTTAGTTTACACTTTGATTTACACAGTACTATATCACATAACATTGAGGATGTACACCAAAGTTGAAGAACAATTATAGAGTCAAATCAAGTGATAAACTCTTGCTATATGTATAAAATCTCATTTAGTTTAGATTCCTTGATGGTTCATACAATGATTGAATGCATATTTATCATTTTAAGGATGTACGTGAAAGTATTAAATTTATTAATATGGTCCTATCCTCGAGTATTGAAAAAAATTAAACTCGTTAAGTGGTAATAATTTTCATTTCATATATCTCATCGCGAAAGAATACTTTTCTGAGGAAACTTTTTAACTGCAAATTCTTGGCCTCTAAGTCTATGAAGATATTTCTTCTAGCTCTAATGTGCATAAAGAGCTGTTGAAAAGTGTAGTAATTAAGAATATAATGTTATTTGTATATCATTGTGCACATAATGATCCATGGAAGAGATATAAAGAAAAAAGATGGAAAAAAAGAGAAATTCAATTATTATAAGGATCTTGCTTCATCTTCATCAAGTTTTAAATAATGGGTTAGATAATGCCACATTTCATTATATCATTTGTCAATTTAAAACACAGTCAACTTTTTCATCTAATATTTTCCCTCCACATCATTTTATGTAATCTTTTATGTACCCTTTTTATGCACAAGTACCATAATCCTGAATTTTGCTACATGTAGACCATCCATGGTGTACACTTTAGTTTATACTTTACCACATGACATTATCCTATTGAACAATTTAAATTTTAAATAGATTTTTCATCCAATTGATCTTTGACAACAATGCAAGTGTCAACCAAAATGTCAAAAATTAGTGTACAAATAGTAAAGTCCTTTTCATAATGTCATAGCTCATGTCAAGTTTGATTGTTTGAGAAACCGCAACTTTACAACTTAAGTATTGTTTAAGGTATTTGTATTACACGTTATCTTTCTTAGTTTTTGTCTTTTAAATTCATGTATTGTGTTAAATATCCATATTAAAGGGTAAGTTCACCATGTCCCTTTTTCATCTTTTGGTATCGTATAATTGTTTCTATTATAATAGTTTGATTCAATCAATAAGATAAATAAATAAATATGTCACTTCACAAAATTTAAAACTTCCCATATAGTCAATTTCATATAAAAGTTTAAGTTATTATAAACTTGACAAGACCATATATTACCGTAATATAAGATGCAATTTACTTAAATTCGTACTACCATAACATCATAACATCAACCATGTTATAAGATCTGTGATAAAGCAAAATAAACTATTTTACAAGGCATGGCGATTTATTTCATAAGATTACACTAATACACTCTACAATCTCCATCTATTGGGTTTGTCTAGAAACGTGTTCATATAACACTCGACAGCGTTAAGAAAGAGAAGTTAAAATATTGTCATTTGTACGACTAAAGTCCTGTCACTATTTTACCCTAACAATGCCCTTTACATGATATTTGAATTTTTATTTTGGTTCAAATCATAAGGTGCTTAAAGATTAAAAAAAAGTTCTATTTGGTTGCTTATAAACTTTGTTTTGGGAATTTGCCATTTCTTGCAAAAGCAAATAGACACATAAAGATAAACTCACAAGAAGAAGAGATACAATAATCACATTTTTCTCTTATTCCCAAATTTCACCTATATTTTGTCAGTGTGAGTCTCAATCTAAAGGTAATTGACTTGTTTTAGATTCTATCATCCTTTCTTCTTTTAGATGATTATGTAAATAAATGGTTTTTAACTTTTTGAATTTTCATTCATTTCATAAATAATATTTATCAATGGTTCTACTTAATTTATTGCTACATTCACATAAAGATTTAAAACAATTACATCATTCACAACCACACTACAATGTACTTCAATTAAATTAAACTTTCAAAGAAGAGTCATTTCTTTCATACGTCCAAGTTGATAGTCAATAGGCGTTATGCTCTTTAAATGCGAAAGAGTGACAAAGTCAAGATGATATTCAAAATGTCTTTGTTTGTGCTAATAAACTAAGCATCCTTGCAAGAAACTTCAGTGTCCCTATAACATGCAGTGATTCATTTTTATTTCATTTCTTGAGAAAGACATTGAAGAAGAATAACTTTCAAGCACCACTTCTTTCGCGGTGTTCACATGGAGTAGTTGATAACTATGAATTTAATAAGATTATTGTTCATGATCATCCATATAAATTTTGTTCTCAAATTGAAACATCGCGAGAATAAATTATACACGTGGTTATAATCGTATAAGAAATAATAAATAGGAAGATACACC